AAATCATAAGTATTTTAAAATGGGGGTGGGATTTTTCAATCACCCTGTAAATTAATAAAAAAAATAATGACAAGAAGAAAACTGTTTATCCAAACGCGTTTCTTTTGTAGAGAAATTTTATCATGTTAAAGGCATAAATGTTTTCTAGGTTTTTACACACAGAAAAAATTAACATTCAATTTTGAAACAGGAAAAGCTCTAAGATATTTCAAAATCTCTCGGCGTTAAGGAAATGAAAAAGAAAATTAAGGAGAAAGTAAGGTAGATATTTTTTATGTTGATTATTTAAAGTGGATTGGTTTAGTTATTATCATTTTTATTCAGTAAGTCATTTATTATTGGCTTGGTGCATAATTATCAGGCGTTTTGTTAATAAAAATTGCTGTTTACTTTTTTAATAAAACTATTGTTTTATTTTAAGGTTATAAAAATATGTGTCGATAATCATACGCTCTGAAATAATCATTGTTGAACTGTTTTGTTTCTTTTTTCATAATATATATTGTTTTAAAAACGCCTGATAATTATGCACCAACCCTATATAAAACCCTGAGTAAGTCGTTTTTATTTAATTATATATATATTTTTAATTTAGATATTCATACATAAATATGTTGGATCGAGAGAAGAGCATTTCCTTAAAGAAAATAGATAAAAAGTTCAGGTCGTGCATTTATATTTGGGCTTCTATCAATTAATGCACTTTAGAGATGTTTTCTTCTTAGTAAAATATTTTCTCTGTTAATAACGGCAGATTTGAGATCGAAAAATTAATCTTTATTTGCGAGTGAATAAAAATGATTTTTCCAGACTTATGTCCCACTATTTACTTCTTTTATTTTACAGAAAGAAGAAGAAAGACTATGACGAAAAAAAAAAGAACGAAGAAGAATAAAAAATAGAATGCAGAATAAAGAAAAAGAATGAAAAAGAAACATAATGATGTAGAAGAATGAAAATTAAGCAAAAGATAGAATGAAAAAAGAATGAAAAAAGAAACAGAAGAGGGAACGAAGAAGAAGAATGAAGAAGAATAAAAAAAGAAACAGAATGAAGAAGTAGGATGAAAAGAAACAAAAAGACAATGAAGAAGTAGAATGAAAATGAAACGGAATAAAGAAACAGAAGGAAAACAAGCAGAGGGGAGAATGAAGAAGAAGAAGAATGAGAAAGAAACAGAATGAAGAAGAACAAAAAAGAAACAGAATAAAGACGGGAGAAGAAGAAGAAGAAGAAGAAGAAGAAGAAGAAGAAGAAGAATGAAAAAGAATGAGAAAAAAGAAACAGAAATAAGAAGAATGAAAAATATAAAAAAGGAAGAATGAAGACAAAGAAACAGAATGGAGAATGAAGAAGACTGAAGAACAAGAATGAAAAAGAAACAAAATGAAGAAGTATGATGAAAAATATACAGAAAGAGAATGAAGAAATAGAATGAAAATGAAACAAAATGAAGAATGTAGAAGAAAAAGAATGAAAAAAGAAACAGAAAGAGAAAGAAGAAGAAGAATGAAGAAGAATAAAAAAGAAACAGAATGAAGTAGGATGAAAAGAAACAGAAAGACAATGAAGAAGTAGAATGAAAATGAAGCGGAATAAAGAAACAGAAGGAAAACAAGCAGAGGGGAGAATGAAGAAGAAGAAGAATGAGAAAGAAACAGAATGAAGAAGAACAAAAAAGAAACAGAATAAAGACGGAAGAAGAAGAAGAAGAATGAAAAAGAATGAGAAAAAAGAAACAGAAATAAGAAGAAGAATGAAAAATATAAAAAAGAAAGAAGGAAGACAAAGAAACAGAATAGAGAATGAAGAAGACTGAAAAACAAGAATGAAAAAGAAACAAAATGAAGAAGCATGATGAAAAAAATAGAGAAATCGAATGAAGAAGTAGAATGAAAATGAAACAGAATGAAGAATGTAGAAGAAGAAAAAGAATGAAAAAAGAAACAGAAAGAAGAATGAAAAAGAAACAAAGCAAGAATGAAAATAAAATCGAATGAAAAAAGAAAGCGAATGAAGAATGAAAATTAGAATAAAACAAAATAGAAAGAAGAATGAAATAAAAGAATGAAAAACAAAGAGAATGAAGAAGTAAGACGAAAAAGAAACAAAGTTTAAAGACAAAAAATGGATAGAAAAAGAAGCTCATGAGAAGACGGAAGTAAAATTGTTATCTGGGGCAGAAATACCGCGTTTTTGTGAACTGACTTCATGAATTATAGACACGTAAGAGCAAATTTTTTTGTCAGATCGGTAACAGGAAAAAAAAAAAAACAGCGAAGAATGTCCGTTCGTACGATGTGAATCATCCGATGTCGGATCGTTCAATATCGACGGCTATATAATGGTCACGGAGTGCAAATATATTTGAAAAGAAATTATTTCACTTATTAAATTAGTATTTAAAATTCTAAAAGTAGCTGAGATTTTTGAAATATGTTTAACCACGTGATATATAAAGAGGTGGCTTGCAGGCACTTCCTCAGACCCAAGGGTGACC